GAGTGCCATCAGAGGGAGGAAAGAAAGGAGAGACAGAGGAAGGCGGAGTGGGTGGGCCTCAGCACACAGGAAGATCTGCTTTGGAAGAGGATATTTCTTTTTGAAATTTTATTTATTTTTGCTCTCAGCATCAGAATACTGGAGTTTAAATTAAACCTCAGACATTTCTTAGCTACGTGACCCTGAATAAGTCACCTTAAAAAAAAACCACCCCAAATCTGTTTGCCTTGGTTTTCCCACCTGTTAAAATGGGGATAATCCCAACATCTACCTCAGGGTTGTTGTGAGGGTCAGGTGAGATCGTAATTATAAAGCGCCCAGCACAGTGCCTGGCACATAGTCGGTGCTGTATGAGTGTTAGTTATTTCACCTCTAAATAAAACGAGTGTTTCCACATACATAGAACTGAGCAGGAGGAATCTGCAGGTCTCTTCTGTCCCACTTGCTTTTCAAGTACATAGTAACTTCAGCATGTAGTTTTCACAGCTGTCATGCTTTTCTCTGTTTTCTGGCTTTCTCTGCTTCTCTGAGGCATCTTTTGGTTCTTTTTTAAGATGCCTCAGTGAACCAGTTTTCTTTCCTTTTTTGAGGGGAAGGCCTCCTTGTCCCTGTCCTCCATCTTTCCTCCCTTCTATCCCCATTGGGGGGGAAAACAAAGCCCCCATAACAGTCAGTATCCTGACGTTGGCTGTGTCCCAGACTGCGTGTCTGATTCTGCCCCTTGTGTCCAGGCCTTCTGTCTGTCGGGGGGGGGGTGGTAGCAGGCTCTAGGATGGCGGTTGGCTGTGGCTGCGATGGAGGTTTCGTGTCTTTCACCTTGGTTTTTCTTTGTGATGCTCTTGTGTAACTCGTCCTTGGGCTTTGAGGCCTACTTTGAGGCTCCCTGTGCAGTGTGTATGAGACTTTTGGGGGGCCTCCCAGCCTGGCAGCTAGGGGCTACTGGCAGAGGACCCCAAGAGCAGAATTTGAATCCACATCTCTCCTGAGTGGCGTCTTAAGTTTAATGAGCAGCCCCTGAAGGTTTTTGAATAGAGATGCTCTGTCACAGTCCCTTTTTCTTTCTCTGCTGTCTCCTCCCTTGCACTTTCCTCACTTCTTTTCTCCCTCCTCTCTACATTTCTATTAATTCTTTGCCTCGTCCAGTTTGAAAAGGTTCTGACGCTAACCTTGTGGTGTTGGCCAAGCCCAGCATTTCTCTGTCCCTTGGAGTTGGCCATGTGTGAAGTGAGGGGCTGACCTACCCCCTTCTTTACCTTTTGTGGGGGCCTGGAAAGCCTGTGGATGCCTCAGAATAATGTTTTTAAATGCATGAAGTACAGAGGATTGCAAAGGAAACCAGTTCTATTGAAGTGCAGTTATCAGAATACTTCTACAAGCTCACAGCCTGTTGCCCTGTTAGGAACCTAGGTCTTCCAGCCTGTGCTTGCCACCCCTGGCTTGAAAAGACTGGCCTTTTATGGATTGGCCAGCAGCTCTTTTCTGGTCGACGAAATAACCCATCCCGATTCTGTGGGTAGAATTTCTGTCTTCTCAGTTGTTTTTGTCTGTCACCCCTTAAGGTGTAACGTTGTGGACTGCATTGGCCTTCCTCCTTCTTCCACCTTCCCTTCTCAGGACTTGGAACTGTTACAGGCACTTGAGGAAGCAGGAAGGCTGGGGTCCAGATAGTTTTGTTCTTAAATACAGCCCAGCTGCTGGCCTCTGACAGTGGCAAGGGAGGCCATTCTGCCCAAAGGAGATAATAGCTGTAGTCCCCTTTACCCCCATGTGTTCTACTGAAACATTTCAGTCATTTCCCATTGGCTAGATCATTCATGTTTCTGTTGTAATATTTTAAGTCCTTCTAAAAACATAGAATCTTACTCTCCCAAGCATAACTATGATTCTTAGATGTTTCAGTGACTTCACAGCCCTGGATGGATGGATGGATGGACGTGGGCCTTGTCAGCGGGCCCACTGGCCCCTTTTTGTCTTGATCTGTTGTGTAAGGTCAGGCTGGCCTATATTTGGTCCCATCTGCACCAAGGTCTATTCATTGGCCTAGTTAAAGGCTGGCCCAATTAAAAGTTTTTAAATAGGGCTTTCTGAAGAAGGACTTGACAGTTGGATTGAATTAATCTGGTGATAAAGTCAAAATAATGGAACCAATTTTCATTTTTAACCCCATTTGAAATTGGGAAGTTAGTGTTTGAACAGAAAGGTCTGGAAGTTTCAGTGGAGTTAATGTTTGGCTCTTTGAGAGGCTACCTGAGGCCTTCTACGGTTCTAGTCTGTGTCCCTGTCCAGACCCTTCCCTTCACCATCTCCCTCCTCCCCCACATGGTGGGATGGTCTTAGAGTGGAAAGAAGTCCCTGCTTTGCCCCCCAATCAGTTCTCCCCACCTGTAAAATGGGGTTAATAGAATCTTGAGAAGGAGCCTGGGGTCCAAGCCCTCTCTCTGGACTTGTGTCTGCTGTAAAGCGTTTTGTAAACGGAAACTTTCTCCTGACTTGTTTTGTTTGAAAGATGTTCCCTAACTGCATATGCCTGGGCGTGGACTCCAAAATGGACTGAACTAATCCTGGCTTATACTTTGTTGGGAGAATATTCTCGGGAGTTCAGATTCACAAAGTATTTTGTGCCCCAGAGGTTGAGATTCTAATCCTGGGTCCTATCATTCACCCAGGCACTGGGCCTTCTGTTTGCTCGGCAGATAAAGGAGGGTGGGGCCTTGGTTTGGTTAGAGGCTTTCTAAAGAGAGCCTCTAAGTTTGGGGCCCAGGGGTGCCAAAGGGGCCTTTGGGGGGGGATTTTGGGGAATCCTAGTGGCGGTTTTCCTTAACCTTTACTCAGTTTGCTGGGGGTGGGGGATGGGGCATCCTTAGGCTTTGCCAGATTGTCAGAGGCAATCCATTGCACAAAAAGGGCGAAGAAGCACCATGGATAGAAATGTGCCTTGTCCAGGTAGATTTCCACTGTCCCTTATGGGCTGTTGGCTGTCCATGAAAAGGGAATCGAAAGTAAAAGCAGAGCCTCAGGAGGGGCTGGCTAAGCGGTCTGTCCTTTGGTAGGTGAGAAGCTGAGGCTGCTCCCTTGTACTGACTGACAGGAGAGTACAAGATGAGCCAGAGACAGTTGGAGGAAAGAGTGGGAGTCACAGCCCAGCTTGGCCTAAGGCGAGAGGGACCCTTGGCTCTCCAGCCTTGGCATTGTCCCCTTTTGCAATATGAGGAAATGGAGATTCTCTCTAAATGCCTGTCCATTCTTATGTCCTAATTCTGTGAAAAATGTAGCGCCTTCTGGGGGGCGGCTCAGGGGTCTGACGACTAAGGGTGTGGCTCGGGGGCCCGGTGTCTAGGGAGGAGGCTTGGGGGTCCAATACAGCCCGTGGACTGATCTGCCCACAGCCGCGATTTCCTCACTTCACAGCTCTGCAGAAACACCCAGAGGAAGTAGCTCCCACCGCAGCGGTGCCCTGGCTGGCCCTTCTGTTAGCACGTCCTGCCTCTTCTCTGTATGAAATGGACTTCGTTTACCTTCCTCCTCACTGTGTTACCCTCACATCCCTCAGGCCACATTTACCATCCATTCATCCTTTGAGGCTTCTTCTGCCCAGCCTAATCCATCTTGGTGTCTCCCCTCTTGGAGCCCTCACTGTCATTCTGCAAGAGCTTCCTAATGAACACTTTCATATATCCGACAGATACACAGGAAGTAGACCAGAAATAATGGTGTTTGGAAACTGGCTTCCTGCTCTTACGTGGAGCTGTAGGGTGTCCAGAGAGGGCACTGAGGATGTTGAAGGATCTTGAGTTCCTGCCGTGTGGGGATTGGTGAAAGAACTGGGAATGTGTAGCCTGGATGAGAGAAAGCTCCCTGGGATCGGGAGCCTGTCACACAAAGGAGGGACCGGGCTCATTCTCTTTGACTTGGGAGGGCAGAGAGGGAACAGTGGCACATTGAGCCCTACTTTTCTAACAATTAGAGCTCTCCAGAAGTGGAACAGTCACCCTCTGCCTTTATGGGAGGGCCTCTGAGATCCCTTTCAGTTCTTAGTATTCTGCGCTGGGGGGAAATTATGCATTCATTCATTATTACGTTCAGGTGAAGAATACTACCTCATATTTGTTTAGTACTTCATAAGTTAGAGACCTCATCTCATTTGATTCTTACAACATCCTTGGGAAGTAGGTAAATCAGAAACTATGCCCCCTTTTTAGGGCTAGGGAGACAAATGTAGGGCCAGAAAAGTCAGTGACTTAGCAAGGTCCCACATAGCTAGTAAATGGCCCCCACGATGTGAACCCAGTAACAGCAGTAATAATAGCTAACATTTATATGGAGCTTATCACGTGCCCAGCACCAGGCTAAGCGCTTTATAGATCTCTCATTCGATCCTTACACCAACCCTGGAAGGAGGTGCCGTTATTGAACCCATTTTACAGATGAGGAAACGAGGCAGAAGGGTGAAGTGACTTGCCCAGGGTCACATAGCTGGTAAGTGTCTAAGGCCAGATGTGAATTCAGGTCTTCCTGATTCCAAGTCCAGCACTGAAGGCATAGGTCTTGAGAGCTGTACCATTGGCATCATACCTTATCAAGAAGTCTAGTAAAGTTTGCCTCTTCTAGGAAAAGGGTGGGGGTGTGTGTGTGTGTGTGTGTGTGTGTGTGTGTGTGTGTGTGTGTGTGTGTGTGTGTGTGTGTGTGTGTGTGTGTGTTTTGGATTTAGTGTGCCTCAGAGGTAGGAAGTTACTTCATGTGGACAGACCTGTGTTGATTCACATTCTAAGTGTCAGGGTCAAGGTTCTTCTTAGAGGGGAAGTCTGGTGTTGAGGTGTCACAGAGAGAATTCAGGTCTTGGCGTCTGCATACCTGGGACAAAAAAGCTTCCTGGCTTTGTGACCTTGAATGAATCATCTCACCTCTCTGATCCTCAGTTTCTCCATGTGAATTTCAGTTGTTAATAGCAGTGCTTCTTATTTAAATCATACTCAATTCTGGTATGGTTTGGTTTGTTTTAGGTATCCAAGCCCAGCTATGGGCTCTGCCTCAGCACCCAACCTGCCTCCTGCAGAAGAAAATGTGGAGTATGTGCGGACTCTCTATGAATTTTCTGGGAACGACCCCGAAGATCTGGCCTTCAAGAAGGGTGAGATCTTGGCCATTGTTGAGAAACCCGAGGAGCAGTGGTGGAGCGCACGCAACAAGGATGGGCAGGTTGGGATGATTCCTGTGCCTTATGTAGAAAAGCTGGTGAGATCTTCCCCTCATGGCAAGCACGGAAATCGGAATTCCAACAGTTATGGGATCCCCGAACCTGCTCATGCCTATGCCCAGCCTCAGACAGCAAATCCTCTCCCTGCGGTCTCCAGTCCTCCGGGGGCAGTGATGAGCCCCCTGCCCTCCACCCAGAACGGACCTGTCTTTGCAAAAGCAATTCAGAAGAGAGTGCCATGTGCTTACGACAAGACTGCCTTGGCCTTGGAGGTAAAGTGATCAAGCTCAGAGTGTGGATGGGTGTGGGTGGGTGGATGCACGCACTGTTGGGAACCAAAGGTACCCACTATTTACCTTTCCTTCCTTCCTCTACATTCTTGGTCTCCTTGATTGAGTCTGTGGGAAATTTTCATGACATCATATGTCATTCTTGGGAGCAAACTAGGGCCAAATCTTTTTATTGACATTTTGATAAAGGCACAACAGGGCAAAAGAGGAAGAGGCAGGACTGTGTGACCTTGGGGAAGTCACTCACTTAAGGTCTCGGGGCACTGGCTTCCTGCTCTAAATAGAGAACGGAGCTTTAACCTTACCTAATGGTCCAAGTAAGAGGTGAGCTTAAATCAGTCCTGTAGGCGACGTGCTCCAGGTTGGTAGCATTACTGCTGGGTCAGAAGTTGCCTTGTGTGCCACAGAAGGGTGGAGAAGAGAGGATCAGGAAAGGCCTGGTAGCATCTGGGGCCAGTTAAGGGAAGCCCTTCCTGAGCATGACCTCCCAACCCAGGCACCAAGCCAGAAGAGGAAGGGAGCCCTTTGACCTGTATTGATGGCCGGAGTGTAGCCTGGTGGCAGGAAGAGCTGGAGCCCTAAGAGTTACCGAGCTGGGGCCTGGAGGATGATGGGACCGGCTCCCAGCCAGGAAGGAGGCGAACTTGGTGGGGTAGGCCACTAGTCATAACTGACCACAAAATGTGTGAGGCTTTCGTTGGTGTAGGGAGCTGCCTCCTGCCAGTGTGGACGTGAAGCTTAGACTCTAAGGGAATGGTTTAGGCCCTGGAGGTGTTGGACGTGACTTGTCTAGGGTCACACAGCCATTGTCAGAGGCGGGGCTGACCTCATGTCTTCCTGACTCCAAGGCCAGTTCATTCCATTTTGCCATGAGGCCTCTCCTTGAAGTTATTTCGAAGGCTTCTTTGTAATTTTGTCTTTGTCAGCTTTGCCTCCTTTCTCTGTGATGTTATTGTGAGGAGCCTGTTAACTCAAAAGAGACGAGGTGAGAAGGAGAAGCTGCTGTGCTTGGGCCTGGAAGAAGGCGGCTTGGATGGGAGAGGATGGGGGGCAGGGGCAGGCAGGGCCTCTCCTCCCTGGAGCTTAGAGAGGCGGGAGGCCCCCAGCCCACACCCACATCCTCAGGCAGGAGCTCCCACTCCCCTGTCACTGTCTACCCCTGAGCTGCCTCCTAATTCAGTCCCGAGAGAGAAGTACCGGGGTGGGCACAGGGCACTTCAGCATCCACACCAGTGTGGCTGGGATTGAGCAAATAAAATCAAGGTAAATTACATTTAAAAAACAAGTAGTCCACCTGTGAGGTGTTGGCTGTGAGTGTGGAAGTGAGCCTTGTGGGATGCTTCTCTCTACCTGCTGTTGATTTGACAGAATTGTGACAGAACCGGGTCTCTGCTTGCTTCGAAAGAAAAAGCAGGGACACTCTTCGACGCTCTTGGAAGTGATGCAATTAGGCTACCAGGAAGTGAGGAGGCAAGTAGGGCAGAGTGTGCCCCTTGAGGTGCCTTTGACAATGTGGCTCAAATTATAGGCGCTCAGGGGACTGTTGTGGAAATGACTTGAAAAACTGCATTGTGGGTTTGTTTTCAAGAAGCCGGAGAGGCAAAGGCAGCGGTTTGTGGGAGTGTCTCTGGCCTGCCCAGGGATGCCCCTGAGCAGGCCGAGAATGGCTCTGCAGGCACAGCTCGAGCCCGGCACGGGCACACAGATACTTAAAAGTGAGTCAGGGTGTGTATGTGTTGGGAGTGCTCCAGCCCCTCCTAGGTGGGCTCCAGAGAAACACTGAGCAAGGAGGGGGGGCTCAGTTTTAGAACTAGAGATCATCGTCATCATCATCATCATTGTCAACTCCTGGCAGTAAAATGCTGCCTTGCTTGGGATGGTGGAAGATTTCAGGGGCCTGGGACACAGTCTGGGTTTACTAGCAGGAGGAGGGGAGAGATCCTGCCCCGAGCCACCCACTGCCAGCCTGGGAGGAGCCAGGGTTCAAGCTGCAACCTCAGGTTTGGGGGGGGGGGATCTCTCTCCCCCATGCCAGGGCACTGGGTCAAGGTGGATAGACCCATTGTACAGCAGGGAGAAGTGAGAGCCAGCTCTAGAAGTTATTCATCTCGGTGCCCCGAGCAGTTCTCTAGAACGGTAATGGCTGGCTGGCATTTATGTCGCACTTTACAAGTATTATCTCACTCTGTCCTCTCAGTGACTTTATTATTATCCACATTTTTCATTGTTCTTTAGTCGTTTTCAGTCGTGCCTGGCTCTTCCTGACCCTATTTGGGGTTTTCTTGGTGGACTTACTGGAGTGGTTTGCCATTTCCTTCTCTAGCTCATTTTACAGATGAGGAAACTGAGGTAAACAGGGTTAAGTGACTTGCCCAGGGTCACACAGCTGCTAAGTATCTGAGGCTGAATTTGAACTCAGGTCTTCCTAACTCCAAGCCCATCCTTCTACCCACTGTGCCACCTGGCTTGCCCAGCAATTTACAGATGAAGAAATTGAAGCAGGTAGTTTCAGTGCTCTGCCGAGGGCCACCCACCTGTGAAAAAGGTCCAGGGTTGGACTTGAATCCAGCACCCATTCCATCCACTCACCACCATCTGCCTCGAGGACCACAAGCTGCAGGGCGTGGAAACCAGTCTGGGCCCAAAAACCCTTGTTTTTCTTTTTTAATCAGAAGTGATTGGGTTGCCTTAGTCCTTGAGAAGCTAACTTTGTGCCCTCAGGTGAGACGAATGAGGAGAAGCATTTTTTCAGATTTAGGTAGAGTGCCTCTGAGGCAGCAGGTGCCTGTGCCGCTGGCTCATTTGGTTTGGTCGAGCCTTGATGCCCTCAGTGCACATGCTGGGCCCCTGCTGGCGCGTCCCTGCGGAGTCCTTCAGAGGTGATGGACCCTCCAGGCCATGCCCCTCATCGTCAGAGGGTGTGACTAGCTCACCTTCCCCCCCCCCCCCCGTGTGTGTGTCTCTCTCTCTCTCTCTATCTCTCTCTCTCTCTCTCTGTCTCTCTCTCTCTCTCTCTCTCTGTCTCTCTGTCTCTCTCACTCTCTCTCTCTGTCTCTCCGTCTCTGTCTCTCTGTCTCTCTCACTCTCTCTCTCTGTCTCTCCGTCTCTGTCTCTCTGTCTCTCTCTCTTTCTCTCTCTGTCTCTTTGTCTCTCTCTCTCTGTCTCTCTCTGTCTCTCTCTGTCTCTGTCTCTCTCTCTGTCTCTGTCTCTCTCTCTGTCTCTGTCTCTGTCTCTCTCTCTCTCTCTCTCTCTCTCTCTCTCTCTCTCTCTCGCTCTCGCTCTCGCTCTCTCTATTCAGTGGATTCTTTTATTCCACTCAGTAGAATCATGGAGTCGGCAGGGACCTCCAGGCTGACTGCGCACGGCCTCTCAGCTCCCTGTACAGCCGAGGATCTGCAGTGCTCTCCCAGGGTCCCCAGCCTCAGCTTGACCGTACAGCTGCTGCCAGGCGGTCTCTTATGCCCCAGGAATGTTTTCTTTGCCCGAAGCCTGAACCTGTCCCTGCGTTGCCTCTTCAGTGCTCTGGGTTCTCCCCTTTGGGCTGGAGAGGAGCCGAATTCCGTCAGCCACAAGCCTGCCCCAGGAGAGACCTCTCTCTCCCCCCTTCCTTCCTTTAGCTTCTCTACAGGACACGGTCATCATCCCCTCCCCGTCCTGGCTCTTGTCTGACTTCTCCGGACACTTCTGCCTGACTGTGGTATTCTCGAGGTGATCTGAGAACAGAATGGCAGGGCTGTCACCCCCCTCACTTGGTGAATTTGCAGGGCACTGAAAAACCGAGGACTTCACAACAATCATTTACCTGTGCTGTCCCCCAAACTGTTTCTGTTCCATTTTTTTATAGAGCACACGGGGAAAACCCAGCTGGCCAGCATAAACCAGCTGCTGTGTGACGGGGTCCTTTTGTTAAACTTTGCCTCAAAGGATCATGGCAATGTCCCGTTTACAGTGCGTTGTCTTGGTCAGTGCTGTTGGCTAGTGATGGAGGCTGCCTGAAGCGGTACCCGAGGGTCCCGTGGTGACTTAGAAAACCACATGTTAACGTCATCTATGTTCTATTGTGTTTGTGTTTTGTTAAATGTTTTCTCACTCATGTTTTAATCTGGTTCAGACCTCCCTGTGGGGGACACCTCTGCTCTGTGCTATCCCACTTCATGATTTTCAAAGATTCCACGTGGCCCGGTTAACTCATCTGTCCCAAATAGAGCACAGTGAGGAGAAGGAAGGCCCACTGGGGTAGCTGCAGTTTCCTGCTGTGCATCGTTTCCATTCAGAAACTTGTGGCTTTTGAGATCCTACCTCCCATTCCTTCCCCCCTCCCCCCCAACAAGCTTTTATTAGAGACTTGTAATTCTTTATCCACATAGCGATCTAAAAGGGATGAGGAGTGCAGGAGTGCCTTGGAGATTCCTAACTGCTCTAGAATTACAGCTGGCCCTCTCTGCCTCGAGGCGCCCCCGTAGCTAGAGTACCAGCCCATCCGTGACATGGTGAGGGCATGTGCAGGTGTCTTTGGTTGGAGTCTCTGGAAATGTAGGCCAGCTTTCTGGGAGTAACAAGTGGCCATGGCCTTGCCCCTGAGTTCTCTGACCACAGGCTCAGAGGCCTGCTTCTTGGGCTTGGGTGAGATGCAGAGCCCTTGGTCCCCATAACACTTTTTTGGGCTCAGTGGCACACTTTCAGCTGACCCCGTCTCATCCTGCCACTTCCCTTCTCCCCTCTGGTGTGAACTCCGCAGCAGCTTAATTTGGTCTCTTCCAGGATGACCGGGTCCCTTTGTCTTCTGCAGTTGATCCTTTGTTGGTGATCCTGGTGCCTGATTGTGCCCGTTGTGACTCCCTCCCAAAGCCCTGTCTGTTGTTGGTGATTCTCCCAAGCTGTGGGGCTCCATGGTTCTCAGCCATGTCAGTAGCCTATCTCCATCACAAAGCTTTGTACAAAATTGGGCTGTTGAAAACCATGGAAAGAACGTGTGGGCATGC